TTGGTTAAGTAATGCATAGTAAGTATTAATAAAGATGCTTTGAAGCAAGATACATGTTTTTTTTTTTCTCGTAAAATTATTCAAAACTAGCTTCAAAGACTCTAAGACTACACTTGCATTAATCATAAGTGGTAAGCATCTGGGAATATCGGTTGTCTTCAGACGATGCTGGACTCTGTCAAGAATGAGATGTGTCATAAAATAGACTCATTATCTACTGACTTGCACTCTGAGATTTTCACAGTGCGATCAGATGTTAAAGGCAGATTGGAACCTTTACAACAGATGATTGAGTCCAACACTAGTAACGTTGCCATCAAAGAACTGGAGCGTTCTTCTTATGATATAGCGATTGCATAACGGAACTGGAGAATTTGATTTCATCTCTCAATGATCGCTTAACTCATCTGGATGCTACGTGCGAAGATTTGAAGGGTCGTTCTAGGAGAAATAATATTCTTCTGGTGGATCTTCCTGAGGTCAGCGAGGGTTCCCGTCCATCTGAATGTGTTGCCCAACTTTTGCAGGAGGTGTTAGGGCTTCAGGATAAGCCACTGCTGGATCGCGCACACCGTCCGATCACCCTCTTATCATTAGAGTGCATGACTTCTACATTCGTACTGAGATTTTTCAAAGGGCTGCGGAACTCTCTCCTCTCAATTACAATGGAAAGAGATTGTCTCTTTTTGCTGACTAAACTACGGCGGTGGCTAAGAAACGGTCTGCATTCAGAGATGGACTCAGGTCCTGGACTCAGGTTGGCTTATTCTTCCCTGTGGTGTTGAGAATCACTACAGCTGATGAAGTTTCACATAAGTTTGTGGAACTGTCTGCGGCACTGGACTTCATTCGCAAAAACGTGAAGTCTACAGAAACTATAGGTATTGATACATAGTTCATATTGGCCTAGGTCTGACCTGAGTACCTTTACTGGATACCATTATGCTTATTTGTAATACTGACCTTCTATTATTGATGATTTATTAAGTATAAATAAATGCACTTAAATTATTAAGTTGGTTAAGTGTTAAACATTGTTTTTTTAATTTATATTTTTATTATTAATGGTTCTTCTATTGTCATTCTAGTGAAACATTTAATGTTTATGATGGACCGGGCAGATATATCTTCATATTTTCTTATTTTGGGAGGGGATTTCAATAGTTGGATTAACCCAGATCTTGACCGTTCATCTCTCAAACGTAATTCACCCTCAAAATCTGCACATGCAATTCAATCTTTTAAGTTTTCAGTTTCAGATCCCTGGCGGGTTTTTTTTTTATCCACATGGTAAAGCATTCTCTTTCTTTTCCCATGTTCACCAAACATTCACACGCATTGATTATTTTCTAATAGATAATAGACTTATTCAGTCAGTAGAATCATGTGATTATAATGCTATTGTAATATCAGACCGTGCACCAATAACCATGAATTTTTACTTTGAGGGGCTCGATATGGTACACATCCATTATGGCAGCTGAATACTCGTGTATGTTGTTAGCCCAAAGCTTTGTGGAATTTGTCTCTAATAAAATAGACTTTTTTATATCCACAAATAGAAGTCCAGAGATATCTGCATCTCTTTTTTGGGAGGCTTTGAAGGCATTCCTCAGGGGAGTAATCAGTTCATATATTAGTCACAAGACAAAGTTAAACAAAAAAGAGGCGTTCCGAAATAACAGAGAAAATCACTCAATTAGAACGCAATTAGATAATATACATGTGGTCACCCCATCTTCAGATATTTATAAGGAACACCAGTCATTACAGGCAGAATTTTATATTCTTTCAACAAGTCATGCAGAAAATGTACTACTTAGAACTAAGTCTAGGTATTATGAAGAGGGTGACAAAGCAGGTAGTCTGGTAACCTTAGAACTACGGCAAGAATCAAACTTAAACCTTAACCCACCATATCCGAACACCTTCAGGGATAACAACACATCCCACATTAATTAACAATCACTTTAAGGACTACTATACTTCGCTTTATGCATCTGAGCAAACTGCCAACTCCTATGATTTTGATCACTTTTTTAGCACCCTTTATATCCTGACAGTTAATTCTGATTCAGTTGATCAAATTGAAGCAGCCATTAATATAGTGGAACTCACCCAAGCTGCATACTCTTTACAGTGTGGTAAATGCCCTGGACCAGATGGGCATCCAGTGGAATTTTATAAGAAGTGAACAAATTGGCTCCCATATTAATAGAAATGTATAATGAATCATTTAAGTCACTAAAACTTCCTCAAACACTTAATCAAGCCTCAGTCTCCTTGATCCTAAAAAAGAATAAAGACTCTCTGGAATGCTCCTCATATCGGCTCAGTAGTTTGCTTCATGCAACAAGTTATCAAAACTGTTATCAATGCGACTGGAATCTGTATTACCATCAATTATATCTCCAGATCAGACTGGTTTTATTAAGAGTAGACATACTTTTTTTAATATTAGGTGATTACGTAACGTGGTGTACAATTCTTCTTCCCCTTCTACCCCAGAAGCTGTAATATCACTAGATGCTGAAAAAGCATTTGATCGGGTAGAATGGGGATACCTTTTTTATGCTTTAAAGAAATTTGGTTTTGGTGAAAAATTCATTTCATGGGTAAAACTCCCCGGGCCTCAGTTAGAACTAATAATACTCGCTCTGAATACTTTAACCTTCACAGACCCACTCAAGTCCACTTCTTTTTGCTATAGCCATCAAACCTCTTTCCGCTGCTTTAAAAGTTAACCCGTTAATAAAAGGAATAACGAGAATAGGTATAGAACAGAAGGTCTCACTGTACGCAGTTAATATTCTTTATATTTCAGATTTTACTGTGTCAGGTCCTGTGGTTCTTAAAGGGGTCATATGATGCAATTTCAATTTTTCCTTTCTCTTTGGAGTGTTACAAGCTCTTGGTGCATAAAGAAGATCTGTAAAGTTGCAAAGACTTCAGAAATATTCTTTATAAAAGTTAAGAGTCAGCCACGCCTACCTAAATCGGCTCGTTCTAACACGTCCCCACATACCTACGTCACAATCTGGGAAGATTTGCATAACGCCGCCCAAATGTTCACGCAAAGAAAGAAGACACAACTTTTATTCTCACTGTAGTATTGTTGTTGCCCCCGCCATGTCGTGAAGGCGCTGTGTGCTTTGTTGTGAAAGTGAAACTTTTTTTTTTTTTTTTGCTGCATCATATGACCCCTTTAATACTTTACAATCATTTGGCTTTATTTTTTATTTCAGGCTATAAACTAAATCTAGCCAAAAGTGAATTTTTCCCACTAAACTCAAAATCTTGTTAAGTTTAACTTTAATAATCTACTGCTACAAGTTCAAAAAGACTTTGAAAGATGATTGGTGCTTCCGTTATCCTTAGCTGGCAGAATTAATACTGTAAAAATGAATACCCTCCCAAAAGTCTCTTATTTGTTTCAGTCTATCCCCTATTTTTCTCCCTCAGTCCTTCTTTCAGAGACTCAACTGAGTTTATTTGGAATAAAAAGACGGCTAGAATTCGTAAAACTCTTCTTCAATGACCCAAGTCTATTGGAGGTATAGCCTTGCCTAACTTTCAGTATTACCGGTACTATCGGGCTGCTAACTTCAGTGTTCCAGTACTGGATAAACCAACTCCAATCTCAGTGTTCACCCATTTGTCTTGCCATGGAAGTATCCTCATGTTTCCCCACTACATTAACAGCCCTGTGACATTCCCCTATTAAGAGTTCATATTCTCTCTTTACCAAAAATGTAATTGTAAAAATGTCACTGCGAATCTGGAGACAGTTTATGCGCCATTATGGATTACAAGCTCTTTCTATGTCTGCCCCTATAGCATCAAATTTTGTTTTCCCACCATCAATGATGGACAAGACGTTTTCCCAATGGGCAACATACGGCATATCAATGTTTTAAGATTTAAATATATATAGATGATGTTTTTGCATCCTTTCAACAGCTCTCAGATATTTTTTTCAATGCCCAGAAACATTTTTTTCCCCAGTATTTGCAGGTGCAAATCTGTGATATGTATCCTTAATTTCCTAGTCTCCCCAATACAACTCACTTGGACTCATTCCTTGAACCAGTGTCTATTGGGTAAGGTATGATTTCATATTTTTATGATAAACTATGTTCTCTACATAGAAGTTCACTGACATCTATAAAAAGTCAGTGGGAAGAAGATATTCCAGATGAATTATGGGAAAGTATCTTACAGAGGGTACATTCTTCATCGTTGTGTGCCAATCATGGTTGGATCCAATGCAAAATGCTCCATCATATTCACCGGACTAAAGTCAGACTCTCTAAAATTTACTCTGATGTTGATCCTATCTGTGACTGCTGTCGTCAGGGTCCCGAAACCCTGGCACACATGTTCTGGCCCTGCCCAAGTTTACATGGTTATTGGGTTCAAATATTCGAGACAATATCTCAAGTAGTTGGGACAACAGTTAAACCTGTAGCGATAACCGCACTCTTCGGTACACTTCCCTTACCAGTTCATCAGCTAGGTTACAAGGCAGACTTTGTGGCCTTTGTATCCCTCCTGGCTAGACGTTTAATTCTAATGCACTGGAAATCATCTGTGTCACCTACCCACTCAATGTGGATTAAAGAGATTTTTCACTTTATCAAGCTAGAAAAAATTGGACATTCACTGAGGGGATCTTCTGTTTTTAATGCTTTTATGCTCATCCGTACAGGTACTGGTTCGCCCGTTGTCTTCGAATGTAAAGCACGATTAGTGCGTTTCATTGCTTATCGCATCACCAACAACACTACACAACTAGCGTATCTTAGAGAGAGAGCCAATGAGCATGAGGATATAATGTCAATGTTAATTTATATAATGTAAAAGGTTACCAAAAACACTGTGAACATTATATCATGTGTGTATACCATTCATATGACTCTTGACAAAACTACTTATTTCTGTAAAAAAATAAAATAATAAAATAAAAATCAACCAGTGAATGTTATATTCGTTTATGACTGTATTTGCAATTCCATGTACAAAATGGCAATAAGTGCAGTTTACAGTCACATTGGACTTTCAAATATTTGTACCTTTATCCATGAAAATACATTTGAAGCTTTCACAGTCAGTCCAAAATTATTACTGTCCGTCCATCTCCAAGCCAGTTGTTCTAATACAAACTGTAGTAAATTAGCTTACCAATACTGATTGGTTTTATTAATTAAGCTGTTGTACTGAACTCATCTTACCTATATTGGAATACCAGCAATAGAAATGCCAATCCATTACAGAACAACCCACTACATTTGCAGTTTATTAAGGTCAAGATAAATCCAGTGATCGTGGAATCAAATAAAATCAGAAGGAATTCAAAATTTCAGGCTTACGTTAACTTGATTGGAAAAAAGACAAACACAATTAAGTAATGCTAAGAAATGCTGCATTCATAATTAATTTTTTTTAACTTAAAATCTAGCAGACTATAATTATATTTATTAACATCTGAAATACGTTGAAAATAGATTTTCTGTGCAAATCGTTCACATTTCAAGAGCAAATAAAAATTTGTAAAACTTACAAATACTTTAATAAACACAATTTTAAAAATACTCTCTAAAAATAGTTGTTTCTGAGTAAAGAATACGGATCAAGAAAGCTTCAGACCAAGGTCCTTCTGCAGGCCCTCACAACATATCGTCACAGCGGTCTGGACTGGCAAGGGTCTGTTGTCCATTTCTGAGCTTACGGCACTACGGCGGTGCAGTTCAATACCCAGCCAGAGGGGGGGCTATAGCGGTTCCTCACATTTCCAGCATCCTCAACTCTCTAACTGCCACTGCTGGGACCGGGAATCATCACAGATCGCCATGGTAACATATCCTTTGATGCTGAGTGGGTTGGTAACAGCCAAACACTGGCCCACTGACACCTGGTATAGCCAGTTATTTTTCTGAGAGAACAAAATATACATTATTTGTAAATACATATTTTGTTCATTTAATTACAGATGGCATATGAAGCAGAGCACATAATGGGGCACCTAGACAGATCTAAACAAAAGAGGCATATACAATAAGCATGACGTGTACATTACTGTATATGGTCATAGATTTTTTAAATGATCCAATCTGTATAGTATAATTTTTAGTATACCATGTATGTATTTACATTGTTATAGCCTTCAATTAGCATATTACTAAAAACAAATTTGGCTTTAAAAAAAAATCTGTCTATTCAGAGAAATAATTAATAGTTGCAGCCCAAGTGTACAGGGGATACATGAGGTAAAAGACAATAACGGGAAGATTTCTTACCCCCAGTGTCCACTGCTGAGATCCACCTGAGCCGTGACACTTCATGAGGCGCGGCGGGTCAGAAGAACGAATCTCAAACATGTCCAAACACAGCAGCCCGCCTAGAATTAACTCATGCTCCTCATCATAGGCCCATTCCTCCAAAACAACACACACAAACACATAGATCAAAATGACAAAACATCTACACAGTACCAATCATAAAACTTTAAAAATATGCTTTTGTTTAGATATAATGATCCATTTCAACATGTTTCTTTTCAGACTTGTCAAACAGTAAAATTACCTACATTTTGTTTACATCAGTCTAACTATGGCATCTAACAAAAGTCATCAGTTTGTTAGCTGAGAAAAATAGCTTTTAAACTACAGCAACAATTAAAAAAAATGGCAGCATTTATCATCAAGTGTGCAGTCAGTTAGAGTTTTTTAGTTAGGGTCTCTCATTCTCACCAAGTTTGCGTTTATTTAATCTAAAACACAGTAAAAAAGTAATATTGAGAACGATTTATTTCTAATATAAATATTCATTAAAATATGAAATTAAATGTAAAAATGTGATTTATGCCTGCGCTGAAATACTCCTGAATTACTTCTTTCAGAAATCATTTGAATATGCTGTATTGGTAGTACTATTAAACATTTCCTATTATTATCAATGTTGAAAAAAGTTGTGCTGCTTCATATTTTTGTGGAAATTATTATTATTATTTTTTTTGAATTTTGAAACAGAAATGCCTTTGACTGTTAATTTTGATCAACTTAATGTCCTTGCTGAATAAATGTATTAATGACCCTAAACTTTTGAAGGATAGTGTAATGTGTCAAGCATGAGTAACGAATGAATACTGATAGATAAACAGCCCCCTAGAATTAACTCATGCTCCTCATCATAGGCCCATTCCTCCAAAACAACACACACAAACACATAGATCAAAATGACAAAACATCTACACAGTACCAATCATAAAACTTTAAAAATATGCTTTTCTTTAGATATAATGATCCATTTCAACATGTTTCTTTTCAGACTTGTCAAACAGTAAAATTACCTACATTTTGTTTACATCAGTCTAACTATGGCATCTAACAAAAGTCATCAGTTTGTTAGCTGAGAAAAATAGCTTTTAAACTACAGCAACAATTAAAAAAAATGGCAGCATTTATCATCAAGTGTGCAGTCAGTTAGAGTTTTTTAGTTAGGGTCTCTCATTCTCACCAAGTTTGCGTTTATTTAATCTAAAACACAGTAAAAAAGTAATATTGAGAACGATTTATTTCTAATATAAATATTCATTAAAATATGAAATTAAATGTAAAAATGTGATTTATGCCTGCGCTGAAATACTCCTGAATTACTTCTTTCAGAAATCATTTGAATATGCTGTATTGGTAGTACTATTAAACATTTCCTATTATTATCAATGTTGAAAAAAGTTGTGCTGCTTCATATTTTTGTGGAAATTATTATTATTATTTTTTTTGAATTTTGAAACAGAAATGCCTTTGACTGTTAATTTTGATCAACTTAATGTCCTTGCTGAATAAATGTATTAATGACCCTAAACTTTTGAAGGATAGTGTAATGTGTCAAGCATGAGTAACGAATGAATACTGATAGATAAACAGCCCCAATTTGCACCAGAGCTGCAAAAAGAAGCAAATCATCTGCAAAATTCCCATGATAGCTGCGTATAATTATCACAGAATGACAGCAGTTTGATAAACTGACCTGCTCAGGGTCCTGTGGGTCACAGTTTCTCACCACCACAGCACCCCCTTTCTGACTGGGACGCCCCTGTGCCACCAGACACTTGTCAGCCAGCAGATTACGCAGCTGAAAGAGAACACACACACACACACACACAAATAAAACATTATATTGTATGGTCTTGGGGAAGGCAATTCATTCATTAATATTCAATGACAGGTGTGCAAAAATGTTAAATGTTCTCTTTTGGATTTTAAACGATAACGTGATTAATAAATTATTAATTCATGTATAAATACGTAATGTTCTATAAGTCTCATCTCCGATTAGGAAATGTTGATTGGAGCATGAAAAGTGGTGTATTGAAAGAAAGGGGTTCAAAAATAAGAGGGATTTGTGACATCAGCTGAAAAGAGAGAGCATAGCATATTCAAATCACTTACAATATGACTAGGAACATGTATAAAGTAAGTAAATTGGGTCAATTTTAATTTCAAGTTGACTAAATTGACATAAAATCCTGTTATTTGGTTGCTTTCATAGAGCAATACTTAAACCACCACTTACCAGTCCATTAATTACAGTACATGGTGATAACTAACAAACTTTAGGCTTAGAAAAATACAAAAATCAGATGATATTCTAAATATTCTTATTTGCAAAGGTAATGCAAAAATAATGCAAACCATCAGTGGACTTAATGAATCGTCTGACCAGGTACTGTTTAAGAGCTGCTCTACTGCCCTCTGCTGTTCATGCTCTGTATTCACTTGAATATGGCAATGGAAATGGCAATATTAAAATGACACTCAAAAGAAAAAGTGTTTTTATGTTGTGAAAGTCAAACCTAGAAAACAACCGCCAAATATTCATGCAGTTCTTTATTGACCAACAGAGCTACAGGATACGGTAAACATAAGGGTCAATGTGAGGTCTTACCCGACCCCGCTGCAGGACTTTGGGTCTCTTCAAACCCTTGTTGATAAAGACAGGATGCTGGGGCTTGTGTGGGGAGGAGACCTGCATTTCAGGGTAGATATTGTCCAGGTACCATTTGAAGGAATGACACTGTAGACGCTTCCGAATAGCGACCCGCTCACTGATGTCACCATAGTCACGGTTCCTCAGCTCCGGGCGCAAGACAAAGTACTGCTCCTGATGTACACACAAACACACACAGAAATATTTAATTATTACATTTACTGAAAAAGCATTCGCAAGACAAAACATTCTCACAAGTGAAAAATTATGTTTACATTGACTGTTGCAGTCAATTCCATACTCAAGCAAGTATTAGAGGAACAGTTCACCCAAAACTTTTAATTTGCTTTAATTTTACTCATCCTCAGGTCATCCTAGAGCCAGAGGAGTTTGTTTCATCATGGGAACAGATTTGGAGAAATTTAGCATTACATTTGCTCTGAAGTGAATGGGTGCTGTCAGAGTTCAAACAGCCGATAAAAACATTACAATGATCTACAAGTAATCCTCACACATATGGACTAACAATTAACGTCTTGTCATGTAAAAAGATGTGTTTATAAGAAACAAATCCATCATTAAAGTGTTTTAACTTCAAAATGCCGCTTCTGGCCAAAATATGAGTCCATAATCCATAGTACCTTCTGCCGTGAAAAAGTCCTCTCACATCAAAATCCATCAACATGTTTTAGAACTGTTTTGGATTATTTTCACTGTAAATAGTGTTTCATGTGTGCATATTTCTCTCCTGCAATGGTTTGAAGTTAAAAATGTATTAATGATGGATTTGTTTATTACAAACACATTTTTTGCTTCACAAGATGTTAATTGATAGACTGGAGTCGTGTGGATTACTTCTAGATTATTGTGATGTTTGTATCATTCTGATAGCACCCATTGATTCTGATGGGATCCACTGCAGAGGATCAATTGTTAAGCATGTGATGTAATACTACATTTCTTCAAATCCGTTCCAGCAAAGAAACAAACTCAACTACACCTTGGATGGCCTGAGGGTGAGTGAATTTGTGGGTATAATCCTTTAAAGCCCCTGCTTGCATACTTCAGAGCAGAGGACAAAATTGTGCCTCTACACAGTTGTTGAACATTAGAGATGCACTGAGAAAGTAACTGTAAATCCACAAAACAAACTGTGAGGTGTTTCATTGTCACATAACTTCAGGTCAGTAAACAAATATGAAAAAAAAAACTTAAATACAGTATAATCTTCAAATTCTGTCCGAACAGCCATAAGCACCGCAAATTTAAGATTAAAAACTACTTTTAAATACAAGAGGAAGTAATGAACCCTCATTCAAGTTAAGGTGCATCCTGTGAGTTCCTGGATCAAAATATTGATTTTGCTAATATTTTTTTCTAACGAAAGAAAAATATTATATGTCATGGATACATTTTTACTGAGTAATCCACTATTTTGCAGAGGGGGGTCAAAATGGCAATTTTCAGATTTGCAGTCAAATTATAGGGGTGCAAAAATGACTTCAGTAAATTGGCAGCATAATAATGTTATTTTTTACACATTTGGTTTTAGTTAACGATTTACTCATGGAGCCATACTGAAATTCCATTATCTCTGGAACTGAACTACATAGGGTCTTAAAAATGAAGATGCCAAAAGGAATGTTTTTAAAGACCCAAGATCTAAAAGGGCATTACAAATATATGTGATACTTCTTGAGTTACAGGCATGCAAACTTTGTTTGTAGAAAAAAAACAGACAAAATAAAACTTGAAAAGTGCTTTTCCCCCCATTTTCCCTATGGTCACCATTGGCACATAATGCAACAAAGATTGCTAAAGTTAACAGAATTTAGTAACAGACCTACCAATTTTTACATTCCTGTAATTTGGCTCAGAATTTCAGAAAATTGCCAGTTTAAAATACAAACACATGGCCACTGAAAATGTGTACAAGTTAACGATTTACTCATGGAGCCATACTGAAATTCCATTATCTCTGGAACTGAACTACATAGGGTCTTAAAAATGAAGATGCCAAAAGGAATGTTTTTAAAGACCCAAGATCTAAAAGGGCATTACAAATATATGTGATACTTCTTAAGTTACAGGCATGCAAACTTTGTTTGTAGAAAAAAAACAGACAAAATAAAACTTGAAAAGTGCTTTTCCCCCCATTTTCCCTATGGTCACCATTGGCACATAATGCAACAAAGATTGCTAAAGTTAACAGAATTTAGTAACAGACCTACCAATTTTTACATTCCTGTAATTTGGCTCAGAATTTCAGAAAATTGCCAGTTTAAAATACAAACACACACACACACCTGTTGCTAATTAAGTGCAGCTCTGAACCTCTAAATCAGGGATTCCCAAACTTTTTGCCAGGTCCGTATGACCTAAATTATTTTCTAACGTGTTTAGTGAATATTTATGAAGTACTTTCTCAAATTAAGTTGATATTTTAGTCTAATGACATGCAAGCAAGCAAAAAAATAAAATAAATCTTCTTTTTGTATTTCAACTGCTATTTTTATTGCTATTATTTTAAAATTATTTCTTACTTTGTGTATTTTTATGATTTGATATTTTTTCATCAGTTTTTGAACCACCTGCAGTTCCCTCATGTTCCACCAGGGCTTCGGAAATACCATGCTGCATCCCAATGTGCCTACTTATACTACGTCCTTAAAGTATGTACTCTTTTGGTGAAGACAAAGTACTTTTGAGGGTGTAGTAGAAAAGTAGGAAAGCTTTGGGACATATTATTACGTCATACAATTGCGTTTTTATCGGACCGCCCTACCATATTGGAGAGAAATGAAGTAGCATGTTGATCTGCCAGCCGTGGGTCTTTATGCGGAGATCTCTGCTCATATTTTTTGCATAATGATGCATTTAAAAAAATAATTGACAAATAGATGTTTATAGAAGTTCAAGTTGTCGTAGATGAAATATAACAGATAACATTAAACAATTATTTTTACCAGATTAAATGCTAATTATTGGTAACTCAAACCCCTTTATCTAAACCTCTCTACTTAACCGTCGGTTGCGCACATCCGCTATGATTGCAATTTTTTTTTAACGTTTTTTTTTCCGTGTTTGTAGTTCTGAAACGAATCCTTTGCAGAAGCGCAATGGATTGTGGGTAAAATTAGCCATTAGAGCGTGCACGGATCCACACTTCAAAAATCGACCTGAAATAGTAGACCACTTCTGGCATACTCTTTTCAACATACTATGCTTTGGGACACACGTATTCTAATCTCACATACTATTTAGGATGGATAGTATGAACATTGGGACAGAGGGCCAGTCTTTCTATTTATCACCTAAACATCACCTGCAAAAGCACACAGGAATTACCTCTGCGGACTGCAGTTTTTAAACCAACACCACCAGGGGAAATAGTAAGCATATTCGTTCGGCGCAGACACTTTCATAATTAGGTGCATGACGGGTTTTGCAGAGAAATTGATTATGCACTACTGACGCAGGACACTGTATTCATTCCAAAAGCTAGTCAGCCAACCACCTAGACAGCATTTTTAGGCATCATAGGTATGATGATCCCAATGTCAAGCCTGCTCCAACAGCTAGGTGGAACACATTTGCTTAAGGTATTAATTTAGGCATCATGTATCCTTAGTAAATACAGCAAATCTAGAGTACACTGCAATGAGATTAGTGAAAAACTGACATGGTGTAACTGTTGAGAACTCAAGTAATACATAATGTATTCTTGATGTCAGAGTTATTCATAATGAAGTACCCTTCAAGTACCTGCAAAAAGGACATGCGAACAGCATAACGAGAAACTAATCCCACATTAGCTGGAAAACATTTTAAAACTATTTACACTACACTGAAGCAAAAAAGAGACTGAACAAATATTGCTGACAAAGTACAAAGACACTGCTTCATCCGGTTATTCTCAAGATACTGCTTAACAGAGTATTAATGTGTCTGGCACAGGTAATTACATTCTCCTCTAACAGGGTCAATTATCTCTTAGACGAGCCTTCGAAGTTCTGCAGGATGGACGACGCAGCTGTAAAATTCAAAACACGCATGAAGAATTTCACACATCTCCATCATGTAATGCACCATACTGCACGTGTTGCCAACAGCAAAGAACAGCAGCACCACAGCTGTCAATGTCCAACCCGACAAAAAACAATCAATTTATTGCTGGGGGGGGGGTGACCCATACTTGGAATCAGTGCTCTGCATTTAACCCATCCAAAGTGCACACACACAGCAGTGAACACACACTCTTCTTTTTGTATTTCAACTGCTATTTTTATTGCTATTATTTTAAAATTATTTCTTACTTTGTGTATTTTTATGATTTGATATTTTTTCATCAGTTTTTGAACCACCTGCAGTTCCCTCATGTTCCACCAGGGCTTCGGAAATACCATGCTGCATCCCAATGTGCCTACTTATACTACGTCCTTAAAGTATGTACTCTTTTGGTGAAGACAAAGTACTTTTGAGGGTGTAGTAGAAAAGTAGGAAAGCTTTGGGACATATTATTACGTCATACAATTGCGTTTTTATCGGACCGCCCTACCATATTGGAGAGAAATGAAGTAGCATGTTGATCTGCCAGCCGTGGGTCTTTATGCGGAGATCTCTGCTCATATTTTTTGCATAATGATGCATTTAAAAAAATAATTGACAAATAGATGTTTATAGAAGTTCAAGTTGTCGTATATGAAATATAACAGATAACATTAAACAATTATTTTTACCAGATTAAATGCTAATTATTGGTAACTCAAACCCCTTTATCTAAACCTCTCTACTTAACCGTCGGTTGCGCACATCCGCTATGATTGCAATTTTTTTTTAACGTTTTTTTTTCCGTGTTTGTAGTTCTGAAACGAATCCTTTGCAGAAGCGCAATGGATTGTGGGTAAAATTAGCCATTAGAGCGTGCACGGATCCACACTTCAAAAATCGACCTGAAATAGTAGACCACTTCTGGCATACTCTTTTCAACATACTATGCTTTGGGACACACGTATTCTAATCTCACATACTATTTAGGATGGATAGTATGAACATTGGGACAGAGGGCCAGTCTTTCTATTTATCACCTAAACATCACCTGCAAAAGCACACAGGAATTACCTCTGCGGACTGCAGTTTTTAAACCAACACCACCAGGGGAAATAGTAAGCATATTCGTTCGGAGCAGACACTTTCATAATTAGGTGCATGACGGGTTTTGCAGAGAAATTGATTATGCACTACTGACGCAGGACACTGTATTCATTCCAAAAGCTAGTCAGCCAACCACCTAGACAGCATTTTTAGGCATCATCGATGATCCCAATGTCAAGCCTGCTCCAACAGCTAGGCGGAACACATTTGCTTAAGGTATTAATTTAGGCATCATGTATCCTTAGTAAATACAGCAAATCTAGAGTACACTGCAATGAGATTAGTGAAAAACTGACATGGTGTAACTGTTGAGAACTCAAGTAATACATAATGTATTCTTGATGTCAGAGTTATTCATAATGAAGTACCCTTCAAGTACCTGCAAAAAGGACATGCGAACAGCATAACGAGAAACTAATCCCACATTAGCTGGAAAACATTTTAAAACTATTTACACTACACTGAAGCAAAAAAGAGACTGAACAAATATTGCTGACAAAGTACAAAGACACTGCTTCATCCGGTTATTCTCAAGATACTGCTTAACAGAGTATTAATGTGTCTGGCACAGGTAATTACATTCTCCTCTAACAGGGTCAATTATCTCTTAGACGAGCCTTCGAAGTTCTGCAGGATGGACGACGCAGCTGTAAAATTCAAAACACGCATGAAGAATTTCACACATCTCCATCATGTAATGCACCATACTGCACGTGTTGCCAACAGCAAAGAACAGCAGCACCACAGCTGTCAATGTCCAACCCGACAAAAAACAATCAATTTATTGCTGGGGGGGGGGTGACCCATACTTGGAATCAGTGCTCTGCATTTAACCCATCCAAAGTGCACACACACAGCAGTGAACACACACCCGGAGCAGTGGGCAGCCATTTATGCTGCGGCGCCCGGGGAGCAGTTGGGGGTTCGGTGCCTTGCTCAAGGGCACCTCAGTCGTGGTATTGAAGGTGGGAGAGAGCACTGTACATTCACTCCCCCCACCTACAATCCCTGCCGGGTTACGAGTCAGACTCTCTAACCATTAGGCCACGACTTCCCCCCAACAATGAAGGGTCAGACTTTATACTCTAAAAGAGAGTGGTGAAAACCACAAATTTAAAGCTGGTATTCAATACAATACAATATTTAAAACAAACATTTAAAACACAACTGAAGTTGACCAAAGTGCTGTACAGATTAGAATAAAAACTTAAAAATAATAACAAGACTATCAAATTTAAAACACAATAATAAAACAAAAATTGAACCAATGATCAATTGAAAGCTAGAGAGAATAAATATGTCTTTAGAATGGACTTACAGGGGTCATGAACTGGATTTTGTTAATTATTTTATATTGTTGTCTGTGATCTACTTATGACGTTCACGCGGCTTGAGAAACGCTCGGTTTTTATGGGTGTGCTGCATTGAAGACTTGGAAGTAAACGCCGACTGTTATGATTGGATAACAGTTTTGCATAGTAAACTAACTACAAACTAACTTCATAGTTGGAGCCTTCTGTGACTTTGGTTAGACACGTACACTTAATCAGGAAATATCAAGCAATCTCTAACAAAGCAATAGTGACATTTTTACTCACATAAGTGTGCCGAGCCATTCCTGCTGGATCCAATATAGATGGCACAGCATTGCTTTTTAATCTCAGTCTTTCTGCAAATCCAGCGTCGACCTGTGTCTTGTTTACAAAGGAATCCGCGGTGAAATGAAGTGAACAAACGTTCAATGTTTTACTCACGTGAGCTGAAACTTAATTAAAAATAAAGTTCAACCACGCATTCCTAATATTTGAGTCCGAAAGAAGGTTATGCATCGACTGTGTTCTTCCACAACCAGACACTGCACAATATTTTGTGATCTTTAACGGCATGTTTATTGCTTGGTTGCTCGATCCGGTTTAGCGCCACTTATGTTATTTCCCTACTATGTCATTCGTGAATCAGTGGGCGGGGCTACAGATTTAGGCATTGATATTTTTCTGTGGAGGCGGTGTCATAGGTATAGGCACATTCCAGGATCTGGCGTTCGCTGGGCCTGGTGTCAATAAAAGCTTTTATTTCAGTAACAAGGACGTTTTCAGTTCTGAAACTTACAGGATATTCTTTTAGTATAATGACCACATATATCAAAAGCTCAGGTAACGTGATTTTCTCAATTTATGACCCCTTTAAAAGCAGAAATAGAGGGAGCTATTCTAATGTGAAGAGGAAGACTTATAGAATTCCGGACCTGCAATTGCAAAAGTGCAATCACCTCGTTCTTTAAGTCTAGATCTAGGCACGATGAGCAGACAGAGATCACTGGACCTCAACGTTCTAGAAGGGGTGTACGGACGGAGCAGGTTTGTCAAGTACTGATGGGCCAAATTATTGAGGGCTTTAAAAACAAATAACAGAATTTTAAAATCAATTCTATATTTGATGGGTAACCAGTGCAGTGCAGATAAAATAGGAGTTACTGTCTCATACTTGCGGGACCCAGAGAGTAGTCTAGCAGTTGCGTTTAGCACTACACAAATTCTATATAAATCTAGGTATCACACACTTTCTGACTTTGTAAAAGAAACACTGGACATCATACACTTGGTGACAGAGGGTCACACACTGCCAGACTTTCAAAACTCAACAAACTCGTGCAAAAACATGCACCTCGTTGCAAGGAGAAGCATGACAAATGAAAACAATGTGTTCTTAAATCAATTTGAGTCCGAAAGAAGGTTATGCATCGACTGTGTTCTTCCACAACCAGACACTGCACAATATTTTGTGATCTTTAACGGCATGTTTATTGCTTGGTTGCTCGATCCGGTTTAGCGCCACTTATGTTATTTCCCTACTATGTCATTCGTGAATCAGTGGGCGGGGCTACAGATTTAGGCATTGATATTTTTCTGTGGAGGCGGTGTCATAGGTATAGGCACATTCCAGGATCTGGCGTTCGCTGGGCCTGGTGTCAATAAAAGCTTTTATTTCAGTAACAAGGACGTTTTCAGTTCTGAAACTTACAGGATATTCTTTTAGTACAATGACCACATATATCAAAAGCTCAGGTAACATGTGATTTTCTCAATTTATGACCCCTTTAAAAGCAGAAATAGAGGGAGCTATTCTAATGTGAAGAGGAAGACTTATAGAATTCCGGACCTGCAATTGCAAAAGTGCAATCACCTCGTTCTTTAAGTCTAGATCTAGGCACGATGAGCAGACAGAGATCACTGGACCTCAACGTTCTAGAAGGGGTGTACGGACGGAGCAGGTTTGTCAAGTACTGATGGGCCAAATTATTGAGGGCTTTAAAAACAAATAACAGAATTTTAAAATCAATTCTATATTTGATGGGTAACCAGTGCAGTGCAGATAAAATAGGAGTTACTGTCTCATACTTGCGGGACCCAGAGAGTAGTCTAGCAGTTGCGTTTAGCACTACACAAATTCTATATAAATCTAGGTATCACACACTTTCTGACTTTGTAAAAGAAACACTGGACATCATACACTTGGTGACAGAGGGTCACACACTGCCAGACTTTCAAAACTCAACAAACTCGTGCAAAAACCTGCACCTCGTTGCAAGGAGAAGCATGACAAATGAAAACAATGTGTTCTTAAATCATCTCAAAATATCAAACATGTGTGATATCCCCCAACGGCTTGGAATCATAGTCTAGAAAATCATAAACCATGTGATTTTCTGTGAAATCAGTCAATTCCAACTGCCCAAAATTTGCTGACTGCCTCTGACTTTCGGCAACTAGTGTCGACACGTGTCCTCCAGACCGCAAACTGGGGCATGACAAATAATTTATTTTCAAGAAAAACTGTCAAATCTTAATAAGAGACCTGACTCAAAAAACTAAATAAAACTACAGTATTGACAATAAAACAGAGCAATTACCACTCTTGAAACCCTCTGCAAATGCACATGAACATTACTTAAGAAAAAAAAAAACACTGCACAACTAAGTTTAATTATTACACAGCTTTCTGGAATACTTGATTCTGATTGGCCAATAACAGCATTCAGTGATCAAATATTTCTGAAAAATGTCCACTTATTCAGGCAATGCTGTATAACAGGTCACCCATTCCAGAAAACTGATCTACTACATACTGGTGCTACAATCATATTTCTCATATTACAACGCAATCTGTCTCTGCATACAAATTCTAAAAGATAGAACAGTTAATAAGTATCATTTCCATCACACTTAGTATTTTATTATTATTATTATAGTACTATAATATTGATCTCCACCTTATAGTCATCCATCCAGACATGGGCCAAACGCAGGGAATTGTGGGCCATTGTATCCTGACCTCCGGGTGACCCATAGGGCCGGCGCTTGCGGAAGATGTGCCCCACTCTGGAGCAGGGAACGATCAGTAACTGCCCTCCACACATCCAAATCTGATGGAAAAAATATTTTAAAGCAAGCGAGTATATTTTTGGTCCCCAAGATTACACACAAATGCTTAAACCAAAGTTTCCCACACTGTTTTGTCAGCCAAACCCCTTAAACGTAAAATGTTCACTTGAAGTACCCACTGAGAAGTTAATATTTCAATAAACTTAAATTACACATTCACATGTTCATAGTTCCCTGATGTAGGTTAATGGTCAAATGACTTCAAGTAAACAAAAATATCCAATCCTTTTTTTTGCAAGTTTTTTATTTCAATAGCATAATTATATATATATATATATATATATATATATATATATATATATATATATATATATATACACACACACACACACACACACACACACACACACACACACACACACAGCTGGGTAGTAATCAGATTCCAAAAAATTAGTACTTGTAATTAGATTCAATTACATTTTAAAATACTCGTAATCAGACTACAGTTACTTTTTTATTGATTACATGATTACATATTATTCACACAATAGTAATTCTCCCCAATTCCTCATTTCACCTTTTAAATGTTCCTTTCTAATATAGCCTACCACTTATATACAGGTGCATCTCAATAAATTAGAATGTCGTGGAAAAGAAGTCTTCCAGTTTTGTGAACATTCACACAAAGATCAGTCACTACTCAGGTGGCTGTAATTACACAGACAATTGAGAGGCCACACAGCATTTGACCACTGATTTACAAAAATCAGTTACATTTTAAGAAGTGTTTTCTCAACAGTTGAACATGGCAACAACTACTGATAAACACATTAATTTGTATTTGAATTAAGCTATCACTCAGTATATATTTAACCATGTATCACTGTGTCTTTGGAAGGCTTTTTTCTTTCAAACACATTAAAATGCACAAATTCACATTATTCCTTATTTACATGTACAGTAATGCAGGGATTCCCAAACTTTTTTTTGTCAGTGCATTCAAACGGTGATATATTAAACTCTTTTACACAGTATTTTCTCTTCAGTGCTTTGAACAGTTACAGTATAGTATATTTATATAGTATAGTAACAGTTACTATTTATATAGTATAGTAACAGTATATTTCTTCTTCTCACAGACTTGCTCTGAATTTAAATCTATTTCCCCCAAAATGTTCTTATGAAAATGTAACTAGAATATTAATTCTTAGAATAAGAATATCATTCAGTTTTGCCCCACTTCAAGTGTAACATGTTTTTATGTTTATTTGCAAATCAAGTGTGTTATGTTAGTTGAGTCTCTTGTGAGAGGAGATCATGAGTTCTAGTTGAGTTTCTCAACAGCAAGGCAGCTCACTAAGATTTAAGACAGACCAACTTGTCAATCATTATCATGTCTTGCTTGAGAAAAGACGGCTGGACATGTTTAGAGAAGTAAAGTAGCTTGCCCAGTTCACTGTGGTCGTCCACCAGTATGATCTCATGGAGCAGGTAGTTTGGTGTGCGATCCAGCACACTGTGAACCGTCCTAAGGAGGGCAGAGAACGCCTCATTGTAGAAGCAGATCACTATGCTGGCTGTGGGCAAGGCCTCGGGATAGATCCGATCTCTGCACCTGTTGGGAACAGTGTTCATGTGATGATTTACAGCATTATCACACCAAACCACATGTCCCATCACCTTCTTTTACACAACACAGCATGTTTTACACAAAACCATGTGCACCTTGTCCTCATAAAATGCTAATTTTTCTAGATCAAAATGGTCATCAAAAATGGTCTAGCTGAAACCAAAAATCCTATAATTATTTACTCACCATCATTACAAACCTATATGCTTTTGAGAAACACAAAGGGATCATTTCTGAACTATCTTTGCATGGCTCTTTTTCATACAATCACAGTTCAAATTGACCACATCTGACAAGCTCCATATGAAATATTGTCCTCTCATCTACAGGTCTCAAAATCTCATTCTCCATACCACATATTCAAACAGCGGCAGTTAACAATGCCTAATGACTTTTCAGAGCTTCAGAGGAGAGCAATACTTTGTCGGTTTCTCTCTCAAAGCTATCATATGACTTGTAATAGAATGGTGTTTTTTAAAGTTGTTTTCATATGGTCACTACATATTTTGTGCAAAAGGCGAGGGGAAGGGGTCACATGAATATAAAAAAAAGGTATTCTCAGATAAATCATTTATAATAAACACTGCAATATTACATAAAATGTCAATACTGATATCATGGAGACTTTTATCAAATGATTCAACAGAGCTAATGATTTGAGCAAGTGGTTAGCACACAGATAGATGTTCGTACTTGTCATTCCTGGTGTCGGGGACATCTCTGTTGTAGCCAAGCCGGTTACTGATGAGAACGTTGAAGGCATGCTTATGATAGCCCATATCTCGTACCTCTTGGTCCTGCTTGTTAAAAATCATTCCTAAAATCCAAAATCAGGACACTCAAAAAACAATGACTTATTACTCAGTGGCTGCTCATTAAAAGAAAGCTGCTTTATCAGAGGATTTAGTGGAGCCCACAGTGTAGGACAGATTAGGGCTGCTCGATTAGGGCAAAAATCATAATCGCGATTATTTTGGTCAATATTGTAATCACGATTATTTAACACAATTATGAGTATGCCACATGACCAAAACTTTATATGAGTGTTTTATTTAAAGATAGCAATATATATCAAATATATATGTTCTGTAAATAAGGTTGCTATGACATCTGCATTTTAAAGACCAGTGAAATTTCACAATTCTCAATACCACCGCAGAATACTAGGGTCACTAATATTAGTAAAAAACAAACAAAAAAAAGTCCTCAAAAATAATTATACGGTCAGTAATAAAAATAAAAAAAAGCAAAGGACAAATACAAAAGAAAAAAAAAGATACAAATGAAACAAACAGTGCGAGTTTAAAGTATTCAGCTAACAGCCTACTACAGAAATTGAAAAATTGAACGTAAAATAAAATAGCATTGTCTTCACAGTTTAATTCTTAACTTCCTTTGTTTCATATTAAAGCTACAAAAGGTCTTCAGTCAAGAGCAGTGAGTGATTTTCTCTCTGTCTTTTGTTGTTTGATTAATATTAAGCACACAGGAATATTAGCCTGCTGTCACTTTAAGAGCCGCACACGGATCCAATTTACTGTTATGGACATATTTTCATTCTCAACTGTTTACGTTCATATATTACATAACCGACGAGGGTTTATGTGAATAATTGCCAAGCACCGCATTTTGACACATTTTTGCATGTATTTGACCATTTAGGCACGCACCTTGAGCTTTGTATGTCAGTGCTATGTTCCATCTCTGAGCGCATGCACAGAAAGCCTCCTGAGGAACAGCGCAAGTTCTCTTTCATGCTTTTGAAAACATGAATAAATCGAATAAACGTTGGGTGCAACAATGGGGTGCAATAATCCTTTTATCTCAATTATTGTATTGTTCCAAAACCTACCTCACTGCCTGCAAAACTCATATTAGTGAATTGCCAATTGTATTTAAGTCTATTTCTCATCCCTGTTATGAAAACTTTTTTCAAGCCATTCCATCTTTTATAAGTAGCCAAACAGGCTTTTCTAATTACCTCTCTCTCTCTGCAGATGAAAAAGGTGTAACCGCATACTGTATAGACCAATTTGGAGTAGACGTCACAGTTACGTCACTTGCAGCTGCGTGTGCATGGTGGTGGCAGAAAAACACTGGGAAAAAATGGAGGGAGATGGGTAAAATCCATGGAATAAGAGAAAAAATGTATTGTTGTGCCTTTGGAAGTCAGAATCAGAATGCAAATAATTTTTATATAATACTGTTGTCAAAGACGCCATTTGAAGCTAAATGCAGACGTTTAAACGGACAGACTGTGGATGAAACCTGCTATGATTGCCCTATTTTATAAATTTGATTCAAACAATAGGTCTATATAATATTCATATAGGGGACATATTGTATTAGCCCTACAGTTGAAATACATGCATGAAATACTATTTAAACCTATAACGTTTTATATAACATTTACCTATTTTATCTAACAATTCTGACTTTTTTTCTTTGCAAATGCAAGTTTATATCTCCTAGTTCGGACTTTATAACTTTATTCAAGTCAACAATTGCGAGTTTGTCAATTCTGAGGGAAAAAAACCAGAAGTGTGGGATTATAAACTAAAAAGAAAGAATGATGAGCTGATTTTTCTTACCAGAATTGTGAGATCTTGGAATTGCAAAGTCAGAATTTTGAAATATAAACTCAAAATTAAATTTTTATTATTTTATTCCATGGCTTGAATA